TTGTGACATTCGTAAATGTCACAGCTGCTCACGTGACCCCAGGACCAAATTCGCGAAAAAGTAGTTTGGTAGTTTTCAAACAGCGTGTTTCAAAATTGTTTATGAATGAATGAGATTTAAACAACCCAAACTTGAATGTCGTAGAAATCGTAGTAGGAATCCTAGTACAGCATGCACTGTAGTGAGTATAATTACATACTAGGCCTACAAACCGGTCCTACCCTAGGCTAATTAATTGGGCTAGCAATGGCCTAACCTAGAATGGATAAGCCGCACCCCAAAATTCGGGATAGTTGGCGATGTTGTATGTCCGGTGAAAAATTAAAAAAATTGACGCGCAGTGTCTAAATCGACGCGCGCGCTGACCAGAGACAGAACATTTATTTTTTTTTTTGGCCTAACTTATCATTATGGGCTTATTCGACTGGTTCATTTCGTTGAGTACGAAGTTTCGTTGAGTAATAATAATAATAATTTTTGTTTCTCTTTTGTAACAGAAGCACAATCGCTAGAGAGATGTGCAAGAATAATTCACAATATAAGAGTAATAATAACATGTACATTTGTCTTGCTATAGACATTTCTTACAGGCCCGTAGCCAGGGGGGGTTTTTATGGTTCGGGCGAACCCCCCTTTTCTAGCGAACCCCCCTGTTTTCTAGAGAACCCCCTCAAATTTTTTGAATGAATCCCACTCGGACGGAATGTCTGTTTTTAACTTACCCAGCATTAAATCAACATTTAGCACCTAATTCATTATTTGGTCACCCGTTTTTAAATTTTAAATTTGCGATACAAGCCTTCATTCGTAGAATATCTCAGCTTCAGAAGTTCGGAGATTTAAATTGAACGCAACACCGGCAAACCATGAATTTACGATGGCTCACATATAAGGATGGCAAACATCGGTAAAAACCTGGCTCCCGTCTCAACTTTGACTGGCCTTTGCCTGAATGTTTGTAAGAAATGTACCAACCGGTAACGAAACCGGTCGCCATCTACCTAGAGTAAATGGCGCCACTAAACGAAGCTAAAGTTTTGCGACTTAATCCACCAAATGCAGCTAAAGTTTTGCGACTTAATCACCTGATTCTGGACTGTGTGGTTAGTAAATTACATAGCCATACTGTCCACAGCGCACACTAATCTATTTGCTGATGGAGCATTTTTGGGAAATTGACTCCTTTTTTCCATCACAAACAAAATATTATTAATAAGTCAACATGGTCCATCTCAGTCATCATAGCCAGTCACAAAATTAGGAAGGTTGTTTTCAACAGCAGACACACACACAACAGAACGGAGTTGCGTCAAAACGAGTGTTAATTTTTAGTGATAAAGAATTACGAAACGTCGTAGAATAACTGACTTCCACTGTGGCAAAGAAGAAAACGACAGATAGTCCTTTAAGATGGGTTATTTTCACAAAAACGTGATGCAATAATGAAAAAATGATTATTATTGTTCATTTTCAATTTTTCCTATTCAATTCTTTCTTCCTCTGCTTCTTCCATATTTTCGTTTAAATTTAATTTGTTATATAAATACATATTTACGCATAATATTTCTATGTATATATATTTATATATATATATATAAATTTATATCATTTTAATACAGGTTTACATATTTTCTGTAATCTAGAAATAGGTTTATATATACTTTGTGTCTGTATTTAACATGTTTCAATCTTTTGGTTTATTTAAATATCAATTATTATCATAAATTTAATGATTACATTATTTCATATAGTATTTTAAATAAATTTATAAACAATTTTAAATATTTAAATATAAACTATGAAAGTAAATACACGCAGATTAGATCAATAAAATGGACATATTAGGCCTAGTAATCTTTATCTATTCATTAACACGAATAACATTTTTCAATATTCTAATCAATTTTTATATAGCCGGAGTTAGTTTCGACCTAGACAAACCTTTGCTAAAAAGGTACACTTTCTCCATGAAAAGGCTTCTTCTATGATTGGAATGACCTGTTCGAAGCACGAACTCCTGTAGACCAAACCAAGTACCGTTACGATGTTTAGTCGTACGGGAAATCCACTCGCCATGCAGTACCGTTACGATTTTTTATCGTAAGGGAAATCCACTCACGAAATATTTTCTAATTTTATTATATTACCACCTTTTTATTACATAGATCTTTTTCAAAACATAACTGCTTTTATAACATTATATAGACCCATTAAGCACAAAAACTGCTCTGGCTTCGGGGGCTTCGCCCCCCGACCCTACCGGGGCCCTTAGGCTTAGGTTCTCTGGACCTCACGCCCAGAGAACCCCCCCTTGAAATGACCTGGCTACGGGCCTGTCTTACTTAACTAAAACACTGCGTAATTAATACTTTATCAGTACAGTTTGAAAATCATACATCGTGTCGTGTGTTCGAATCCCACACGAACCATTTTTTTAAAATATTCTATTGGCTAGTAATTGGGGATATCTAATTTGAATATTTTTAATTCCTGATGATGACATAATTAATGTCGAAATATTGAATCCCGACACGATGACGTGCATTTCGATACTTGGAGTACCGTATTCATTATACTATATTATCTAAGATTAATCAGTGGACCTTTCGGTTTTTTCCCCATAATTTGTGATAAATTGTTATCACGCATACAAGCCCGTAGCCAGGATTTTGGTAGGGGGGTTCTTTTTGATACTGAAAGGGCACTTGCGAGCACCATTGGCTGGGGCCAGGGGGCCACCAGGGCCAAAACCCCGGTGTGGGTCCCGCATTCTAAGCATTTACAGGTGTTATTTAATTGATTTGAGAGGCCATACATTTACACAAATGTATATATTAAAGTGGTAATTTTTTGAGTTGGGAAAAGATAAAAACAAACAAAAGACTACTACTTTAGGACTACAGTATTGGTAATTTAACAACAGTAGCATGATACAAACTCCAAAGAATCTAGTATGGTTTATTCTTTATTTTCTATTTATATAGTACTTTGGAAGTTGTATCATACTATACTCACTTAAGACAATCAGTAACAAAAAGAACCGAGACAAATTTGTATGGTTGGTTGCTGTCTCTTATACACATCTATGTTGTAATCAAAGGGAAATGGTTTGGCTTACCAGAGGGGGTACACAAAAGGGTGTTTTAGCTGAACCATAGAAAAGTACTGGTTTGGAGCATGGGACTCAAAGGCTACAAAAAAGCTCACTCTTAAAGGGCATTATCATGACTTTCAATATATACAGGTGAAACTATCCCCCGCCGGACACCATCCCGGTATTTCTGAGTCAAGTTTCGGGGCCTGAATTTTTTATGTTACTAGGTAGGCCTAACAATCGGGTATTAAAGTAGGACTTTTAATGATGATAGACTCTAGGCTAGGCCTAAAGTGTAGGTTAGCCAGCCTTTGTTGAAAAGGCACTTCATGAAAAGGGGGGTTCGTTCGAACCCAACGAACCCCCTGGCTACGGGCTTGGCATAGACTTGTGTTCAATGCGTGACAAATTTAGGATCACGCATGTGTCAGTGCAAAATGCGTGTTTCATCCAAAATCACTTGGAAAATGCGGGACCGTCCCGCACGATGCGAGACAGTTGGTATGCGATGCGTCACCAATGCCGAAACTCGACGGTGCGCATTCCATCTCCCGGAGAATGCATTACACTTTATCTGAATAAACTGAAAATATACAAAGGCCTAAATGAAATTTAAAAAAAAAAAAGAAAAGAAAAGGAAAAGAAAAGTATTATTTAGTATTTTAAGTATTATTTTCATTCGACTGGTTCGTAAAATAGACTTCGTTGACAACGAAAATTAACGTAATCAGCGTATCCACGTGACCAAAACAAACATGGCCGATTGGTCAGTTTAGCAACAACATTTGCGTTAATATAATTTAGATTAATTTTTAGAAAATAAGAATTATATTCACCCACATTGAAGTCAAAAAATAAGTGTAGGCTAACAGAATTCCAAAACTGAGTGAAAACAATTTTTTTTTTACGAAAAACCCATACTGCCACAATCCGAAGCAGCCTTGATTACGTAGCGTGTATCGCGTTAACTATGCAGCCATTTTGTTTTGTTTTCTATTCAACTGGTCGTCTTCGTTAGTAGGATTTTACCACTGCGTGGTTTAACGAAGAACGGCCAGTCGAATACGGCCATTTCCCTTTCTTCCCCCCCCCCTCCCCAATTTATTAATATTCATTTCAGAAATGTTGGTGGGTGACAATCACGTATACGCTATTTTTTAAGTACCGGTAACCAGCAAACTCTAATTTTCTTTTAAGTTTAGTATTGTACTGTAACCGCACGTCTCGTAACTAAACGAAATTTAACAATCGATAAGTAGGCCTAATATATGGTGCGCATGAATATCAATAAACCTGTGATGTAAATTGACCTTCGAACATATGGGAAATTCCAAAATCTGCGAATTATCAATAATTTGTAGTTATACAGTAATATGAACCCACGAAAATGCATGGTTTAGGCCTATGTTCATTTTAATTTCCTCAAAACATCCTTTGACTCTTGGTGACAGAATGTGGCTGATTAGGCAGTGAAGATTTTTTACCATTATATTTATAATCATATTTTGGAGTCTATTTTCATCGAAAATTTGAATAATCATACTGTACTCTTGAACAAGAAGGATTGGGCAGAATATAGGTAGGTCATTAAAAAACTATATTTTTATGAACATAACTGTGTAGGCCTATGTGGTGGGCGTGTCTAATTTTGCTTGCCACACTGACTGATAATGATATTAAAATACAGAGCAAAAGTTAATCACCACCACTACTTGGCGTATTAGGCCTGCTAAAATCACAGAAACAGTACCGTAATCATAAAGTAATGTAATCATTAGTGGGCATACAAGTACGTGTCTGTGATAATTATAATAATCGACAGAGTCCAGGAGGTCAACTTATTACGCAACGCAGCAAACAAATAAATAGCCTCTGGTAAATGGTCGTTATATTTTTTATTATACTCACATTTTAGTGATCCAACAGGTCCCACTCAGGCCCGCATTCATGATTTTCGATGGAAGTGCGTTTGCGAGCGAAGTGATCCATAGACTTGAATCACTGGCCTCTCCCTGTAGTGTAGGGTCTGGAGGCGGAGGACAATTCTCCGAAGGCTAGCCTTTTAAGAACATTCTGCTGGAAAAAATTTTTGGATACGACGTCCCGTTATGGAGTTATGATTTTTTAATAATATGATGTCAGAAAATCAGCCCAAGAGCTTATCTATTTCTGTTGGTTACGCACCGCTGATTCGCAATGTTTGTCATCGCTTCAAGATGTCTACCCGATTCGTGGAAAAAGCCACGTCCGTCAACAAAATAGGTGAAAATTATGTTCCCGTACCTGTTATATATTGTAGTTTTATGGCACAAAACATCAGCAATAAATGGCATGTTTTAGAAGTCGATCGGGTAAAAATAAAGATACACCTGGGCACATAAACCATGATATAACCTCGGCCTAACCATACCGGCCTATCTATACTCACAGCCCTAGGCTCTGGTCCAGGCCTGGCTCTGGCCTAGGCGCGGCCTAGCCTAGCCTATGATGTCGATCAGAGATAGGCCTAGACCTAAGGGCATAGGCTCAGGAGTAGTTAGCATACCTAGGCCTATACTATATCTCTCGAATCCGGGTCGATTTGGATAGTGCATTAAGATAGATAGGGTCAAGCCAGGTCCACCAATCAATTACCTGATCACTTAAAAACAATTAAAAATATTAATACTTTTAAATACAAATTACATTCGTATCTTCTTCCACCACATGAATTTCTGGTACTTATTTGCTATACTTTTTATATTAATGTAGGCCTAGGGCCTATATTATATTTTATTATACTTTATATTTTGATTTGTCATCTCTTTGAATTAAGATTTTATTGGATACATTCTTATGTTCAAGAC